CCCTCAACCCATACAACACCATGCGATGGTGGAAGGCTGGGATTCAATTTTCTAGAAAAATGTGGTGTTCATGCAGCGCTTGTGGTTTCAGATAGAGAAGACGAAATGAATAAATTATGTTGGATATATTAAGTTTAGATTATTGTTAGTTAATTGATTGTTTGTTGGCTTGGGTATTTGTGGACTGGGATCCTCTGCCTTATGGCAGAGTACCTTACTCAAATGAAGGGTCAAGATTAAAATTCAGGGTATTGAGATTGGTGCAAAAATGGAATCACACATCCTATGTCATTGATTTTATGATCTAAAGGCTCACAATAAGCAGGCACCCTCCTTGCCTGCTATAGCAAGGCAGAGGAGCCGTATCCGGTATTTGTGGGCATGTGGCAAGTCCTGTACTACAATAATTGAAAAAATCGATTCTAATATAAAGTTGCCCACTTGCCCGTTTTGTGATATGCGATTCAACTTGCTCTTTAGGATGATTATCGTCGTTTCGATGTTTGATTATGGAATGATTTGTTGAGTTTATTGTATTGATTTGCTTGTAACCTTGTTTATTTTTTACGATGAATACAAGCTTTTTATGATAAAAAGAAGAAATAAGCTTTTGAAAGAGTCATTAATATTAAAAAAGATGACACCCCATCTCGAGGACCCCAACACCGAACGAACAATTATATGAGAGGATGTAAATTAGATTTTAATCACAAGTTGACAAATAGCAAGAGACCTTATGCATTTTTACATAGTAACCTCTTATCGCAGTTATCGAGATTCAAATCCGAGACTTACGCCTAGTGACACTCCCTATCTATCAGCAGAGGCAGCCTCAGAAAATTCGAGGCCCTAGACGGCTAGGCAAAAGAGCATTGCGAAAATTCTATAAATAAAAACAATAAACAAAATAATTCTATAAATGTTACTATATATTCTATCAATTCAAAAAAATTACTTTCAAAACAAATGTTTCAATGTTAAAATTAATTTCATAAAGTGTAAAATGTATAAATAAATTTCACATAACCTAATAAATCTATACTTTTATGATAGTATTTTTAATAAAAGACATCTTCATATCATTTTCATATTATCAATACAACCAAAAATTATATTATTGGTCAAAGTTTAACATCATTGACTTGCAAAATCAAATTTGGCTGAATAAAAAGGAAAGAAAGCAGTATTATTTAAGAAAAATATAAAAGTAAAATCTCTAATTTTTTAGCATAACTTAAGATAAATTTAATACTATACTACGTAAGAACATAAATTAATCAGTAGAACTTTTCACATGTCTATAAAAATTTTAGCATTATAAATCACTTAGTTTAAATACAATTATTTTGAATACAGTTTTATGTCATTACTATTTATTTATTTAATTTATTTATTTATTTATTTATTTATTTATTTATTTATTTATTTATTTATTTATTTATTTATTTATTTATTTATTTATTTATTTATTTATTTATTAATATTATTATTTTTATAAAATCATTAATAAAAATGAGGCTCCTTTAGAGGTGGAGGCCCTAGGCACCTTGCCTAGTGTAACTCCCCCCATAGCCGCCCCTGTCTATCAGTTGAATTACGCCCACCGGCTTGATGGGACTAAAAAAATAGAATGGTTTATAAGTTATTGATGGAACTGTATAACCTTTATTATCTAGAGTTATTGGTTTATGAGTTATTATCTCCAAATTTATGTTACATATAAAAAAAAATTACACCATGTACTATTAGAAGATTTATAAGGTATAGAATGGTCCCTTTGGATCTAAAAAAATTGCCACTTACTGGTCACAAAATCTATAGAATTGAAAATTTCAGTTGAGTTTAATTTACAACAGATTATCATAAAGAATTGCATATTCATTTTGTTAAGGAATTCAGATGTATTTTGAAATAGAAAAGAAGAAAGGAATGTAGATAATTTAAGCACAAAGTAAAAATTGTGAACTTGGCATAATACGAAGTACTCCGTATCAATAATTATAATATAATAAAAGTTGGAGTTTAGTACTCTCTTTTAGGGATGGACTGGTAAAGATCAGCCCGATTTGGGACCGGTACTGTTTAGGCCCGGCCCGCTAATGCATAGGTCCGGTCCCGGCTCCGGCCGGGTGGTTATAAGGGCGGGCTTCGGGTTTGTTTTTGGGCCCAACCTGGCCGGTCCCGAGCCGGATTGCACTATTTTTAGGGAGTGTTTGGGTTTGCTTAAAAAAAGCGCTTTTCAGCTTTTGGCTTAAAAAAAGTTGAAAAGAGTGTTTTCAAATGACAACTTCTGCTTAAATTAATCACTTAAAAGCTAAAAGCTGGAAGCAGGTAGAAGGGTGCTTTAAACTGCTTCTTACTTTTTCTATTACACAAAAAGTACTTATTTTATCACACTACCAACTTTTACTATTAATCACTTTTCCAAAAATCACTTTAAAAAATCACTTTTTTGAAGTTGAAGCAATTGCAAACACTCCCTTAATTAATTGCCCAGTCCTGTCACGAAGTGTGGCCCAGTCCCGGTACAAATCCAGGCCAGTACCGGACCTGAAATTTTTAGGCCCGATCCCGCCCAGTCCCATCCCAGAGCCCGGCTCGACCCGGTCCCGGTCCATCCCTACTCTCTTTGTGTTCCCAATATCATATACCGGAGTATATATATGAGAGAATTCCCTAAATAGGAGTAAAAACGTTTTGAAATTCCAATATAGGAGTATCATGTTTTTTATTCCCTAAATAGGAGTAAATTTCTGCCAAGTTTGGGCATTACAAGGCTTTAAGCATGGCATTTTCTTCCAAACTTGGCAGATTACTTCTATTCAGGGAATAAAAAACATGATACTCCTATTTTGAAATTTCAAAACGTTTTTACTCCTATTTAGGACAATTTCTGTATATATATTCCCTTTTCATTCAACCTATATTACTGAATATTGATTACTTCCTTTTTCATACGTATATAAAGCAACAAGTTGAACCGTTCTTTACTGCACATGCCAATCTCTTCTAATCAACTTTAATTACACATTTTCACTATATCCAAATTATCCAATTGCGTCAAATTAAAAATGCAGATGCCTAATCGAAAACTGAATGTTTTCAAGAATAAATAATCAAAGACTGAGTGAAAACCACCTTTTCACTTTTGTGGTTTAAACAAAATTTGTTCACCCATAAAAAGAAGCAGGATTTATCTGCTTCACAGCAGTTTGAATGAGCCCGTAAACAAATTACATCTTCATCAAGGAGGCGCAATGTGGTTCGCTGCCACAATCATACTTATATATATTTTATTCTAGTGTAATCTAGATGAAAATACCTATTCCATAATAACTTTACTACGTCACAGATGAAAAATACTTACGCCAAATCAAATACAGTATGATCTGTATTTGTAATCATTCTCTTAATCTAGTTCTTAGTGAACTTGGGGAAAAACGGAACTGAAGCTAAAAGCTACACCGCGTACAAAAAATCACATTTTGTCCACTATCTTTATTCTAGTCATACATTCCTCATTAATTTTAGGAATGGCCCCTAAAAAGAAAACGTTATCGCACTAACTAAATGACATAGATATGACACAGTTCGTCCAATTGGTTGGAAGAGGACTACATATTAAGACATTAAGTCCATCAGTAACAAAGAAACTTCTAAAAATGTGTGTCATATCCATGTAAAGCATGCATTGTGGGCAACTATATCAATGCGTGTTCTAACTTCAAAGTGGTGATACCATGAAAAGGAAAACGAAAAGAAAAAGGGACATAGATCTTGATTCTTTACAATCAATTAGCACACTGAGGGATCAAATATAGCATACTACTTCACAGTAGAACTTTGACTTTTGCATATCTGCTCGTACTACTAGACTCCTTAAGCTTTCTTGCAATGGCAGAGATGAAGTTGTTGCACAGCTCACTTAAATAAATACACAGTACATACATAAGCAGTATGGTACAGAAAATGTGAAACTTGATGCCAAACAGAAATCATTCATGTCTTGGTTTAAAAAAGGCGCGAGGCACCATAAGGCAATCACTTCATCGCATCTTACACCCCTAATCGCTTTTTGACGCCTTTTGCACGTCTGAGAGGCGCACGCTTCTCACGCCTCACGGATGTCTTTTTTGGCGATTGAGTCTCTCTAGTCTTCTCCCTTCTTCCTTCTGTGTTATCTTTGCTTCCGAGTTCCGACATCTGCGTCCTGTTTCTTGCTCGCGTAGTAGAACTCACAAGCCTGTTTCTTCCGCTACTTTCTCGCGACGTAGGACTCGCAGAGTAGTCACAGGTAAGTATTTATTTCTTCTCTTCTACTGTTTGAAATTGTAGTGTTACTCTGTCGGTCTGTTCTAGATCATGCTGAGTAGGGTACCTAAATATTTGATTTTATTTAACAATTATATAAGAAAGTTTTTCTTATTAGAAATTTTTTATAAGTTAGTCCATTCAATTTTGGACGCGATTTTCACTAAGGATCATTCAAAAACAGTCTCTCTGTGCTTTAGTACAAGGTAAGACTGCGTATATCTGACCCCCTACCCCACCGTAGGTGTGAGCCTTTGCGGCACTGGGGTAAATGAAAATGAAAAAAATGAACGAACAACTTATCAATTACCAGTATGTTTTTAGTTTTAAGATTGAGTTTTGTGACTTGACTTTTGCCAATGAATCAATGATGCCGTTTGATATTTATTTATTGCTACTCTCTTAATAAATATTTGGTTTCTCTTATGATGCTTGTTAAGATTGTTTAATAGTTTGAAGTATTTAATTGATGTTATCACTCTTTGAGATGAGTGTTTCATGTAAAAGACTACAAATAGTATAAATATATTTTACCAAATATATGATGTTAAGATCCGTGAGGCACGCGCCTATCGCCTTTCGCCTCACGCCTCACGTAAATCTATGAAAACGCCTCATGCCGCCTCATGCCGCCTCATGCCGCCTCGTGCCTTTTAAAACTAAGATTCATGCATTCGACAAACTCACTGTAAGAACATACATATCGATACATACGCTCGATCCAATCACATTATAGCAAGTGAACATCAATTCCATAAAGACATAGTGAAGAACAAACAAGACAGTGGCTTGTTAAAATTCACAAGACATCTATGAAGATCAAAGGGCATAAGCAAATACCATCCAAGCTATACATAACTAAGGAATGGGAGACCTCCTTAACTAGTGCTTGGGGTTTTAACACAACACAAAGATTTAGACTTAAAATTTTAAGAAGAAATTTGAATCAATTAAGCATCACTACTACGACCGCCATCGCTGCCATGTTCAGCTTTACCTGTGTCCTGTTGAGAAATACGAACCCCGGGATGAACCGTACGCCTTCGAGTCCTGGAAGGGAGGATGTTTTCCAAATCAATCTCTGCAAGGGGATCGTCGTCAGAGGGACAGCTTTCTCCGTCCGTACTATAGTCGCTTCCAGATGCACTAGAACCGGATTCACCATCAGAATCATCCACCGGTTCCTCAATCAGTATTCCTTTCCCTTTTCGGTCGATTTCCGTGACTCCATTAGACAGCTCTTCGTCTTCAGCGTCGTCTTCCTCTTCAACATCGTAGTCCTCCTCATCCTCCTCGCCTTCATCATCATTCACAGAACTATCGTCCCTCTGAGATCCTTCGCCAATCAATTTGTCTTCGGCATCCGAATCGGAAGCGACAGCAGCAACAGATTTTTCGAGCTTGGCCTTCTTGATAGACTCGTCGTCATTTAGGCTTTTAGTAGCAACTGCGACGATGGGGTCTGGTTGGGGTTTCCTTTTCAGGGGCAACGCACGTTCCTCTTGATCGTTTCGTACTTCCGCCATCGCTGTCTTTTCTCGGTCCCGGTTAGGGTTTGTGGACAGAGATCACCGCCGCGCGGTGATGGTAATTCTCTACCTACAAACTTTCCAAAACTCGTCACTTCTTAGTTCTAGTAATCTTGTCCAGGAGTGTCCAACTTTTAAAAAGTGATTTTTTAAATTGATTTTGGAAAAAATGATAAATATTAAAAGTTGGTAGTGTTTGAGAAAATAAGTATTTTTTGTGTAATAGGAAAAGGGAAAAGCAGTTTAAAGCACCATTCTACCTGCTTCCAGCTTTTAGCTTTTAAGTGATTAATTTAAGCATAAGATGTCATCTGAAAACACTTTTTTCAGCTTTTTTAAAGCCAAAAGTTGAAAAACGCTTTTTTTTAAGCAACCACAAACACTCCTTAAGTTTGGAACTAATTGTGCTTCTACTTATTTTTTAAAGCAGAAGCAGAATCAATTTTCGTCTTCCCATTTTCTAAAAAAAATTAATTTTAGGAGTATATTAAAACACCAGAATCATTTCTGCACTTTTACCATAACACTCTGACTTCTGCTTCTGCTCCCTGAAGGAGCACTAACAGTTTTAAGAATCAGATCCAAACACCCCCTAAATGAGGAAAAATCTGTCTATCTGTTTAAATCTGGTTTGATCTAGTTTGAATTGGTTTGATCTGATAAATGTCTGAGCTGTGTATTTTATAATTAAGAAATTCAGGTGTGATCTGGTTTGTTTAAATCTGGTCTGATCTGATAAGGTTTAATTTGTTATGTCTGATCTGAGACTAAAACAATTCATATAAACATGTGCTTAGTTCCCTCTCCCTTTATTATATGGCCGTGTCCCCGTTACCGAAGGCTGGTATTCACAAAATGGAGAGGAAACTCTCTGACTTTCTGTGGGATAAAACCCCTGGCCACAACAGGCGCATCTGGAAAAGCTGGGATCAAGTTTGCTTCCCCACTAATGAGAATGGGCTGGGTTTTAGAAACCTCAGCCACATTCAGAGTTCTTTCTTTCTCAAACTTACTTGGAAGCTTAAAAATGGGATTGGGTTGTGGGCCTATTGGGTTAATTCCCTTAGAGATGATTCTATGTCTATTATGAGTAAATCTCTTAGTACGGTTGCTAATTCTTTTGATGATAATTGCAAAATTCAGGTGAACAGAGGTAACAGCTCCTTCTGGTATGACAATTGGTGTACCATTGGTCCTCTTTACCTCTACCAGGATGACATTCCGGACAGCATGAATAACCTGACCATCAACGAGGCCATGCCTAATAACACCCTGACCAGAACTGTTTGCAACAAGCTGCCTCGTTTTGTCATTGAAAAAATCCAAGAAAATACTGTCCTTTTTAATGATATTGATGACCAGACCATTTGGAAACCTAATAAGAGTGGCAATTTCACTTTTAATAGTGACTATGATGTTATTCGGTCTAAAAAAAACTTGATCCAGTATGCCAAGTTTTTTTGGAATAACAGGACTCCTAAAAAAATTTCTTTTTTCCTATGGAGATTCCAAAACCAAATTCTTCCTTTTGAGGAAAATCTTAAAATCATGGGTATTCATGGCCCTTTCAAATGCCCTTTCTGTAATAACAATGATACCATAGATCATTTCTTCTTAACTTGCAACTTTAGTAGACAAATTTGGAAATATTTTGAAAATATCACTGATTTTCATCCTCCTGATCATGGTAGTTTCAAAACCTACTTGGACTACTGGTATAGTGATCTCAAGTTCCCTATCACCGATTTAAACTATGTTATTCCAAACAACATAACTTGGCAGCTTTGGAAGACCCGGAATGACTATCTGTATGATGCGAAAATAGGCCGCATACCTGAGGTTATAAATGCTATTAAAAATGACGTTTTTGCCACCTCAGTAGTTAAACCGTATATCAGCCATGCGACTTGTAAGCCCTTTCTTATCCTGTCACGCCCCGGTCTGGCCGGACGCGCTAACAATCGCCGCATAATCCGATTAAGGCAACCACAGTTCACCCTACTCGAACCATGCAAGGCGTACATGAATACCATTCACACAAGTACATCCATAAACAATCATAAATAAAGCATTTCAAATATACGCAGCGGAATACAAATACTTTTAAAAAGTAAAAGGCCACACAGGGCGAACATGAGCACGCAGGCTCCCAAATCATTTATAATTTAAAAATAGTTCCATGAGCATTATTTTAATTATATCAAAATAGAACTGGAAGAAGCACGAACCACGTCTTCTCTCCATGGATCGCCCGAAGCAACGGGAACAGGAAGCAAGCTCTAGCTTCTACCTGAAACTGTGAGGTGGCCTCCCCCGTGAAGGGGAGGTCAGTACTTGGAAGCATTTGACAAGTACAATGACAACTATACTGAATATAATTCATGTTTCAAACACAAGACCCTCAAAATAGGGTGATACTATATTATGGGCATAACCTACAGCTACCCCATTTCAAATCACTTGTATAGAATATATATACAAAGTCAAATAGCCGACCCGTAGGTCCATTTGTATTTCAAAACAATTCCCCTTGTATAGCCCTTGGCCTATTCTTGCATATAGCAATATCGAGAGGTTACCCCACCCCTAGTCTAAACCCAACTCCATCGAGAGGGTTACACAATTTATCATTTGTACTCATCCACGTTGGACTTACCCACCCTACGGGTGTATTCATTCATTTTGGGCTTACACCCCCGGTATAATATCTTTGGTTCATTTAGGGCTTACACACCCCGTATATTCTTAGTTCGTGTAGGGCTTACACACCCCGTATAATACTTTACTCATTTAGGGCTTACACACCCCGCGTAATACTTTATCATGAAGGAATCGATCCCTGTTCCCTTCGTCATTAATTAGAAAGAACCCCCTAGTTTAATCGTTTTATTCGCATTAGTTTAATTTTTCATACCAATCATATCTCGCATGACGCATTTATTTTATTTATTTCTTTTAATCGCTGAATTTAATTAATTCTTGATTCCCTTTTGTCCGTCCCTGTGGAGACGTTACTCGTACTTACACCACTATATTACGATCTATTTTAAGTGCGAGAAAACACACATCACTTACACACCCCGTATATTCTTAGTTCGTGTAGGGCTTACACACCCCGTATAATACTTTACTCATTTAGGGCTTACACACCCCGCGTAATACTTTATCATGTAGGGCTTACACACCCCGTATAATGCTTTATTCATTAGGGCTTACACACCCCGCGTAATACTTTATTCGTGTAGGGCTTACACACCCCGCGTAATACTTTATTCGTTAGGGCTTACACACCCCGCGTAATACTTTATTCATTAGGGCTTACACACCCCGCGTAATATCCTTTATCTCGTTAGGGCTTACACACCCCGTATATATATATCCCCGTATACTCATTGTACACGAGCAATCATAATCTATCAACCTCGGGCTAGTCTTCATCAAGACTCCCCGGGCTGCCTTCATATAGTCTAGGTAGACTCCACCATTTCCTTTGAGTGTGACCATAGTCCATCACTCATTCTAAGTTCATGCCTATCTAATTCAATACTATAGATAGCACCTACAATTAATCACTACGGATTCATATCACTTTGATCATGTCAATAACTCAAGTATTCCTTACTTCACATTTAATCATTTTGCCTATCCACATAGGTATCCATATATCCCTTTTAAGATCTTATGGAATCACACATTTATCAACATTTGTCTATATCATACTAATCCTCTATATCAATTCAATAATTAATATATTTCAAGGATTTCTCCCCTCATGCATAATGCCTTTGCTTATTCATCCTTGTAATATCATGTATCAATTTATATGACCACATAGCAACACATTTATTCACATTGGAGTATATCATTTAATTCCATCAAAATCATAATTTGATTACTTAGGTAATCTCATGCTCAACTCACGAGTTATAGACAATATAGTCAGCCATCCTCACCTTAAATATGTCCAGCAAGGTTGCCTATTGAAGCCCCGTCGTTAAACCTTCGATCGGGAATGATCTGAAACGAGCTTGGCTGGCAGAGGGCAAAAGCCGCCCGGCTTTTGCAAAAGCTGCCCGGCTTTCGGGCTCTGCTGCACTAAAACAGCACCTAGAAGTGGCGGTTTCCGGCGATTTCGATTCCTATCGATTCAACAACTCTTCTAAGTTAATTACCAACACTTTATATCATATTTCTACACTTTTAAACGTGTAGAACATCCTCATTAATCCCACATATGATTTCTTAAAAATCATATTCACAAAACAAAGTAAATAACTAGTTTGAACGGGATTAGCATTCGGTTACTTAGAATCGAGCTTTCTTCTTCCCGGAATCACCCCTTCTTGCTCTTCTTTTCTTCTTGGGCGTGTGAGACCATGAGGCTGAGCTCCTCTCTATCTTTCTTTGCTTCCAACGACACTCTCAAATGAGTGGAAGGAAAGGATCCTTCTTATCCTTTCTACTTTTGGCATATGGGCTAAATTTTGGGTTGGGTTGTGTACATGGGCTACTCTTCTTAATTTAATCCGACCCGAAGCTATCTATAACTTAATCCTCCCGTTTATTATGGGTTACATTTTATATGGGTTACCCCGAATTAAAGTGTAGGGAACCCTTCACCCTTATAATAGTTCGGCCCGAGTAATTGTATATTACTTACTTCTTATCCTTGGGCTTTTTATTTAATTTATCTTGGTCCAAGAATATATTTTAGTTAGTCCCTCCCCGTGTTTGGGGTCCAACCCACAATTTAATTAATCGGTATTAATTAAATTAATTAATCATTTCTAGTATGATTAATATACTTGTAACTAGTTTTTTTCAAAGTGAATATATATATTCATGACTTTAACTAGTCATCCTTATCGAATTTAGTATTTGCACTATCAATTTGATCTTTAATATTAATGGATTAATGAATCCAAGTTTAAATTGGGAGCGGTGTCACAAGTTCACCCCCCCCTTAACAGGAATTTCGTCCCCGAAATTCACGTCGCGGTTTCATTTTAACCGGTGTCACACTTTTCCAAGTTTCTACATTGACTTGACCTTTCTATAAAATATCTTAACCTTTGTATCGTTGTTGCCCTTAGGCATTTCATTCATATTCTCGTACTCTTATGGTTTAC